CTTAAGCTCATCCAGAGTGTTGGGTCTTGTGTCTTAAGCTCATCCAGAGTGTTGGATCTTGTGTCTCTCAACTTTCTCTTCATAATATCCCACAGATTCTCTCTGAGGTTCAGGTCAGGAGAGTTGGCAGGCCAGTGGAGCACAGTAATACCATGGTCAATAAACCATTTACCAGTGGTTTTGGCACTGTGAGCAGGTGCCAGGTCATACTGAAAAATGAAATCTTTATCTCCATAAAGCTTTTCAACAGATGGAAGCATGAAGTGCTCCAAAATCTCCTGATAGCTGCATTGACCCTGCCCTTGATAAACCACAGTGGACCAACACCAGTAGCTGACATGGCACCCCAGACCATCACTGACTGTGCGTACTTGACACTGGACTTCAGGCATTTTAGCATTTCCTCCTCCCCAGCCTTCCTCCAGACTCTGGATCATTGATTTCTGAATAACATGCAAAATTTGCTTTCATCCGAAAAAAGTACTTTGGACCACTGAGCGTCCAGTGCTGCTTCTCTGTAGCCCAGGTCAGGCGCTTCTGCTGCTGTTTCTGGTTCAAAAGTGGCTTGACCTGGGGAATAAGGCACCTGTAGCCCATTTCCTGCACACACCTGTGCACCGTAGCTCTGGAAGTTTGTACTCCAGACTCAGTCCACCGCTTCTGCAGGTCCCCCAAAGTCTGGAATCAGCCCTTCTCCACAATCTTCCTCAGGGTCCTGTCACCTCTTCTCGTTGTGCAGCGTTTTCTGCCACACTTTTTCCTTCCCACAGACTTCCCACTGAGGTGCCTTGATACAGCACTCTAGGAACAGCCTATTCATTCAGAAATGTCTTTCTGTTTCTTACCCTCTTGCTTGAGGGTATCGGTGATGGCCTTCTGGACAGCAGTCAGGTCAGCAGTCTTACCCATGATTGTGGTTTTGAGTAATGAACCAGGCTGGGAGTTTTTAAAAGCCTCGGGAATCTTTTGCAGGTGTTTATAGAGTTAATTAGTTGATTCAGATGATTAGGTTAATAAGTCGTTTAGAGAACCTTTTCATGATATGCTAATTTTTTGAGATAGGGATTTCTGGTTTTTTCTCTTTACTTTTTTGCCAAAACCATCAATATTAACACAATAAAAGACTTGAACTACTTCAGTTGGTGTGCAATGAATCTAAAATATATTATGTTTAATGATTATCAGTACATTAAAGAAAATAATGAACTTTTTCATAATATGCTAATTTTTTGAGAAGGACCTGTATATACTATATTTGTGCTCTTACCCATAATCAGACTTTGAAACACCATTTAAACATCAATGAAAAGTTAAGATGTACTTTATTTTGAAAAACCAACACCGCGGGTTCTTGAGGGCAGAGCGAGGCTGTAAGTGCTGTGTGTGTGTGTGTGTGTGTGTAGTCCTCACAAAGATAGCAAGGCCGCTCGATGAAAACTGTCTGATGCGACAGCTTTGCAAGCTACTTTACTTTATCAATAATTACTGATACAGCAAGAACCACCAACACAGACCTGCGTGTGACCGGGAATCAGCGGCTCCCTGCCTGTTCTAAAAATAGTGCTGATCAGCAGCGTAGCTACAGCTAATGTAATGCCCCTCAACTTTTAAAAAAGTAACCAGAGTTGTTTGTGAACTCAAAACACCATAAATCCAGACAGAATGAGCTGCTGTCTGTGTGTCACCATCCAGCCACAGCTCAGACAGTCTGAGGAGCATTAACCCTTTAGGGCCCAGATTTAAAATGGGGTAAATAAATGATTTTCAGTGATTGAAAGTTAGTTTTTTTTCCAGATAGTTGCATTTTTAACTGTCGTCTTTTATATCTACAAGAGTTAAGTTATTCTGAAGAGTTACAAAGACAATTTGTAGAAACAGGACATGATTTGAAGATTTTTACTGATATTTTCTTTTAAACATGTTACAGAAGTAGTAAGAAGCAGGTTTATTTTGAATAAACATAATAAATGTGTTCCTTCCTACAAAAATGTCAAATATATTTACAAAATACATTAAACTGATTCAGATTAGCATAAAATAAATCATGATTTATAATTAAATAACTTTGTCAACCCCCCGCCCAAAAAAAAATAAATTAAATTAAATTAAATAACACACCACGGTAAAAAAATCCTAGGGGAATCCCTGCAAAAGGCTGAACTCAATCTGCTTTGGAGCAATTTGAGTTATCTGTAATTGTGTTAGTATTTTTGTACATCAGAGAATATTTAATGTTTAAAACATTTGATTTAGTCAGTGTGGTGATTCACGTTATTGTACAGAGTCAGATCAAACCCAAATTTTTATCAACTTGAGAGATTTAAAACAGCAGGCATTTATTACTTTATTCTAATTGCGTGTATTCCTTTCTACATTCCACACTAAATGCTTTTCTTATGAGGGTCCAAATTACCCTTACAGTTTGGTCGATCAGTGCAACAATCTTTTTAATGTGAACGTGCAAAAATCCTGCAGGAGAAAGCCTCAGTTCAAAAGTAACCATTTTCAAAGTTGAAGCAGTTTTAGGTATCGTCAACCCAGCTCTAGTAAACTTGCAACCAGTAAACTTCTGCTCAGATTACACCAACAAGACAAGAAAAAAAGTGGATTAAACTAACAACTAACTTAAACTAACCAACTTTAACAACATTAACAGTGAGTGCATTTTAGTGTCAGGCTATAAAATTAAATTCCTTTTTAACAACTTACTGGGATTCTGAATTTTACAGCATCAACAGGTTGCTGAAAAGGCCACGAAAGGTGATGACTCCACACAGCTTTCATCACCACATTCTCCAGGTACAGGAGCTTAGTGGTTAATCGCCCAGGCTTCTTGGGATTTAGGACCTCCGGTGGGGGTGGATTTCCACTCACGGTGGCACAGCCGTTGACATCAGCCATCTTGTTGTCCAAAGGTAGAGACAGGGAGACCAGGCCCAGAGAATGTTTTGCTGTAGCTCAAAGCTCATCACACACTTCCCTGTTTGAGAAAAGCAGAGTGAGAATTGAATTAAAATCCATCCATCCATTTTCTTCCGCCTATCCGTGGTCGGGTCGCGGGGGCAGCAGCTTCAGAAGGGAGGCCCAG